TATATATATATATATATATCACACAATCACTCGTATATTGCCCATAACGTATATTTTACATATATTACCAACAATCCAATCACTATTTACTATAAGCTGTTTAGACTTGATGCGGGTCTATAACCGACCCACTATGTTATTAGGTAAAGTATGTGTAATGAAGAAGGTTTTTGTAATACATAGGCATATTGTACTATTAACGGAGAATTTTCGACCTCTGTACGCAGTTAATGCATTTTATACATTCAGAATTGACAGTATGCACCGCATCCGCTGAGGCATGTTGTGTTTAAGGCTGAAAGCCTGTCTTAACAGATCTCTGTCTGTAATGCGTTCATTAGTTTTAATAAGTGACTGGTTTTGGCGAATGCCAGAAGAGCGCTATCACACTGCTCATAAGCAACCCTCAAAACTCTGTCAAAGAGCGTAGGTGACATTTGGTACTACCCGGGCTACTTTTGAGTGTTTCCACCCTTCACAGAAAGTAAATTCTATTTTTGAGAGCACTCAGTGGTACTAAGTCTTATTCAACCCTGGAATAAGCGACGCCAGGCTCTCCTGTCTCTGGTCGTACTCACTGCGTGAAAGTCCATCTCTTCGGCGACTTTCCTGATGATCGTCTTCTGCCTCGCAAAAATACCTCTTTACTGTTAGGCCTAATGAATATCAGCAAAACGAATAATTTGATTCATTCAGCAATAATTACTTCCTCTTAATACTGAAGCCCGCCTCAGCTATATAAGCAGTTCTCGAAATAGGTGGCCACTGAGAAGTTTGTTCCAGTGGATGCTGTTGACACTTGCTAGCTTCAGGATACCTTCGAGTGACTCTGTTTCTCATAGGTTGTGATTACAGACAATGACAAAAATCTTATTACAATGCACTGGGCTTTGATGAAGCAGCCAGTATGGGACTTCAGAGCTATCAAAAATAGACCTGGTAGAGTCTGCTAAAGTAATGTAGAGAGGCAGGACTCACAGAGTTTGCGATATTCAGATTAATACGATGAAGAACAGCAAGCTGATCGAGTCCAGCTAAATTTCCTTCTTCGCATGCTATCAACATTGCAGACACAATCAGCTCATCCTGAAACAGAATACAAATTTCAGACCAGCGTAACTGTGTCAAAAAACTGTTACTGAGATGACAAACACAACAGATATTTGCTTTTCTCTAGTTTCCTTTTCCATCACATCCGCTTTGCTAGCTGTAATACTGTCCAGTATGGGCTTTAATTTCTGGTTTATGTGTCAAAGTTCTGAGGATGACAATGATGCGAGAAAAACCAAAGTTCATAAACTCCCTCCGTGGTAGCGCTCTATAAGAGCTGAGGGTAGGCCAAAAGTAGCCCAAGGGGTAGTGATGCCAAGAGCTACTATATGCTGAAAAGGCTATTGTTGGCTGTTTTTTTAAAAGTCTACTTAGAAGAAAGCTGATGGCGGATTTGAATACTGTCCTGCAGTCTGTATCAACCCATGCTTTTCATGAGATTTCATTAGAAGGCCTGGCACTTTAACGCCTGGGAAACTTAAAGACTGGGAGCCTACTCAAGGGCTGCTTGTAGACAAAGCTTATGGTGGTTTTGATTCCTTGGCATATGTCAATGTCAATTTACCACCGAAACGAATGAGAGGATAGTACAGGAATTGGCTGTAACGCTGGCGGGGTCAAATACTCCACCTACCCGCCGGCATGAGCATCATCACTTTTTGATGGCAGTATATACTATAAGAAAAGTGCGTTTGTGACTGCTGCTCACGAAATTTTTTTAGGAAAACTAAACATATTTTAACAGCCACTACCACATGCCTATTCGGAAAATCAGACTTCAACAGCATTAAACGTGAAGATGTTCCCCAGCAAAACCGTATGGTGCCAAAAAAGGAAAACAGACGTTTTTATGCAGTACAGGCTTTTTTTTTTCGTGAACACTGTAAACAGAAATTGATCCAAGCATGAAATTCCACACAGAAAGTACAATGCTAAAAAATTTCAAACGACTATAAAAAGATATGCCATTATTCCTTTACTTAACGCTCTGGTGATGGGATTTTTTTAGGTCTGGGAAAAAATACATTCTCTGGAAATGGCATATCACGACAATCGTACAGCTATATAAACATGCATAATGTTTTTCGTACTGAAAAAAAAACTTCAAGCAAAATGTTGTTTGCGATAGATACTAGCTGAAAGTATGCAATTCGGGACCAAAATGCCTTTTTAACATAGCTGCACTCAGTGTTTTGGACCACTTCAGATTGAGTACCTACATCTACTTTCCTGGCAACCCCGGGATTCCCGGTATGTTGCCTACAGTACATAACTGAGAAGAACATTGTCACAGAAACGCTTGGGCTGAAAAGCACTGAACTCGTACTTATTTTTTGCTGCATCCAGTGAGCGGTGGACCAATTTTGACATATTTGGTAATTTTTTTTCAAAGGAATGAAGAAAGAAAGTGGGAAAGCCGAAATCATGTTTGTCAGTAAAGCAGTCATAGATGATGCAACTTCCGGTCACAACAATTCACAGAACCGTTGCTAACTGCACAGATGGAGCGAAAGCGTACTACGATGAAATGACAGCTGATCAAAGTAACAAAGTAAGGGGCTTCTTAATAATTTATTAAGTAAATAAAAGACAGATGTCGAGAATAGCAAGTGCAAGTTTATCGTATTAAATGTCGAGAAAGCGGGCGATACATTCCAGTCGTTCCGAAGCCCCAATAATCGCACCAGTGAACAATGAAGAATTTACAACATTCAGAAAAAAGTGGGGATATACGAACGGAACTGAGAGAGCTTGATCAGCTAAAAACTAGAAGAAATATCGTTTTATATTTTCAAGGAACTTACAGGATCGAATCGTGAATTGACCGATCGTCCAGCTTCCAAAGCTTTTCGGATAGCAGACCGTGCATTCGCGGTCATTCTGTTACAAGCAATCACAATATCTACTGCTCTCTGAAACAGAATGACCAACTGATAAACAAAATTTGGAAATAACATCATAAAACGAGCGACAGAAAAAATCAATCAGTTAACTTATTAGACCATTATTTCACAAGTTCCCTACAGAACCAACGACCTGCGTTAAGATACCTGCATCACGGAAGAGCCCATAACAATGGAAGAAAACAGATGAAATTAGAGTGTGGGAAAAATACTGAAACTGAAAATAACGGGGTCGATAATGACAATGTACTAAACTGCAGTTATGGAGAGGAATGCACCAATAAGACTGTCTGTGAGGCTGCATGCACCGAAAGCTCTGTTTTGATCAAAAAAGTCATCATTGAAGCGAATTTTTTTTCTTTTTTTTTATCATGTCTCTTTCTATTTCAATTCAATTCAGCTTAGGAGCTGAAATACGAAAAAATTACTTTTGGAATTTCAGGGATATTACCGTGTTTTCAATTCCTTCTGTCCCTTTCTAATTCTTTTTTCCGTTTTACTCCTTTTCTATTTCTTTCTTTTTTTTTTTTGTCATTACATCAACTATTGCGTTGCAGAAGTGCCCCGTGAATGTTTCGAAACTTTGTGTTATAAAAGTAACATTTGCATTTTTTGCAACGCAGGGATAGCATTAAGAAACACCATTACTGTGGAGTTAAGAACGAAAAAAATAGTGGCATAAGTCTGAACAACAATACATGAAAACCAGTCCATGCAAAGCTGAGTTCCAAGCAGACGCTATTAAACAAGACGTCATTTTCTATAAAAAAAAGAAAAAATCAGAATACTGCTCTTGGTTTTCTAGACCAGTTATTTCATAACATGTTTTGGTAATCGCCATATTCGAGACAGTATGGTAAAACTTCATAGCTACTGTACGGAAAAGAGAGTGAGTTTTTGATTGGCTACTCCGATTTATCCAATTGTTGTCTGCCCTCAGATTTCTCTACTTCTTTTTCCTGAGAAAAAGGTCTGCTTAAAAATTTGGAGTATAACCGCAAATAAAGATTCTATCAAGAATCCCAGATCCAAAATGAATGGAGAAATTAAAATACACTCATTCTGATTCGTTTTAATGGTAATTTGCTACTGGTGCCTCTCAAAAAGCCAAAACTGCGATCGGCTTGCTCCTAAGAAAATCCCGGAAAAGAAGGTCGTCCATAGTTCCACTAGCAAATGTTGCTGTTGCAAATATGTGACCAATCGCGCTTCACATTTATAACCGTTTTTTACGCATGCTGAACTAGTTTTCACCGTTGCTTTTCGCCCCAGGCTATATTCAGTTGAACGCTATTTGCGAAAACGAAAAAAAAAAACTTGGGGGATAATCTTCTATGAAGTTTAGTCAATCAGAAGTAATTCTTCATGTAGGAGTCCTACCCTCCATTTCAACCGTATTTTGAAGGACCGTATTTGAGCCATCGAAATCACCGAGTGCTGACGAATATCAATAGCAATTCCATCTGGCTGAAAGAAAAAAACAACAATCAGATTATACAGCGGTACCGGGTAGGAGCACAACAAAACCACAGGATTACAGCTTTTCTGAATGTGTCACTTTCGCAAAATCAACTCACCGTTAACATGAGTCTGTAAAATCCAGTTCTCTATTGGAACAGAGAGACACAGACGCTGCTCAGTACAGCAAGCTGCCAAACAGTACTTACAGTTACTTTTGTTAACAAAAATTTCTCGTCAAACCTTTAACACGGATATTAAAAAAAAAAAAAAAAAAAGCCCATATTAGGGAATGTGACTGGCATAATATTCACTTTGACGTATAGGACATGTTGTTCGTCTTGCTAACTACTGCGTGTCATGCATTAGTGAGTGGTACCCGCGAAAAAGCGAATCAGTTGGACGGCCTGAGAAGAAGCGGCGTTCATACGTCAAACAGGCATGAGTACCAACTGGAGACAAGCATCGAAGGTCTTGGCATTGTTGCGCCCAGCATCCCAGTACCATCATTAATAACAGATACCCACAACGACGCTGGTATTATCATTCTACCTTATTGGTATAATCCCCTCATTTCAGTACTTTCTATATTCCTTCATCTATCAAAAACTGCAATAA